GAAATGATACTGGAAATTTTTTTTGTTTTTTTGTTTTTTTTTTTTATTTTATTTTCCAGTTTAAATTTAGATAAGAATCAAGGTTGCTTCACAAGTCAGTTCCAGGTCCCTCTCCCATTCCCTCCCTTCCTCCCGTGCCCTCCCCCCCCCCACGTTATCCCCTCATTTCTCCAGGGAGGGTGAGGCCCTCCATGGGGGTGTCCATAGTCTGTCATTTCATATAGGGCAGGGCCTAGACCCTTTCCCAAGAGTTCAGGGTGAGAGTGCACCTCACATTGTTCTATTGGAGTCCAAAGTCCGTGTGTATACTTGGGATGGGTACTGATCTGCTGCCCAAGGCTCAATAGATTCCCTAGGCCTCTTCACTGACACCCAGATTCAGGGGGTCTTGATCAGTCCCATGCTGGCTTCCCAGGCTAATGCCTGGGATTCAAGAGTTAACCTTTGTCTGGTCAGCTGTTTCTGGGGGTTAAACCAGCCCAGTCTTAATCCCTTTGATCATCAGTCCTCCCTCTCTGTTACTGGCTTTCTTGAGTTCAGCTCAGTACTTAACCAAGGGAGTCTGCCTCTTCTTCGATCAGCCACTAAATAAAGTTTCTGTTTCCCAGACTCTCTGGCCATAGGATTGTAGGCTGGCACTCCCCAGATCTATGTCTAAAATCCATATATGAGAGAGTACATGCCATGTTTCTCTTTTTGTGACTGGGTTACCTCACTCAGGATGGTTTCTTCTAGTGTCATCCATTTGCCTGCGAATCTCGTGATTCCATTATTTTTTTCTGCTGAATAGTACTCCATTGTGTAGATGTACCACATTTTCTCTATCCACTCTTCAGGTGAGGGTCATCTAGGTTGCTTCCACGTTCTGGCAATTACAAATAAAGCTGCTATGAACATAGTGGAACAGACATTTTTGTTGTATGAATGGGCATCTTTTGGATATATGCCTAAGAGTGGAGTTGCTGGGTCTTGTGGTAGGTTTATTCCCATTTTTCTGAGGAATCTCCACACTGATTTCCAAAGTGGCTGAACCAGTTGGCACTCCCACCAGCAATGGAGGAGTGTCCCCCTTTCACCTCATCCTCTCCAGCATAAATTGTCATTGGTGTTTTTGATTTTAGCCATTCTGACAGGGGTGAGATGGTATCTGAGAGTTGTTTTGATTTGCATTTCCCGGATGGCTAAGGATGTTGAGCACTTTCTCAAGTGCCTCTCAGCCATTTTAGACTCCTCTATTGAAAACTCTCTATTTAGTTCTGCAGCCCACTTTTTAATAGGGTCCTTTGGTGTTTTGGAGACTTGCTTCTTGAGTTCTTTGTAAATTTTGGAGATCAACCCTCTGTCAGATGTGGGATTAGTGAATATTTTTTCCCATTCTGTGGGCTGCCTTTTTGTCTTGCTGACTGTGTCCTTTGCCTTACAGAAGCTTCTCAGTTTCAGTAGGTCCCATTTATTAATTGTTGATCTTACTGCCTGTGCTACTGGTGTTATGTTCAGGAAGCTGTCTCCTGTACCAATTCATTCAAGGGTACCACCCACTTTCTCTTCTAAGAGGTTCAGTGTGGCTGGATTTATGTTGAGGTCTTTGATCCATTTGGACTTAAGTTTTGTGCATGGCGATAGACATGGATCGATCTGCATTCTTCTACATGCCAGTCTCCAATTATGCCAGCACCATTTGTTGAAGATGCTTTCTTTATTCCATTGTATATTTTTAGCTTCTTTGTCAAAGATCAGATGTTCGTACGTGTGTGGGTTAATACCTGGGTTTTCACTTCGATTCCATTGGTCTACCTGTCTATTTTTGTGCCAATACCAAGCTGTTTTCAGGACTATAGCTCTATAATAGAGCTTGAGGTCAGGGATGGTGATGCCTCTGGACGTTGCCTTGTTGAACAGGGTTGTTTTGGCTATCCTGGGTCTTTTGTTTTTCCATACAAAATTGATTATTGTTCTTTCAAGGTCTGTGAAGAACTGTGCTGGGATTTTAATGGGGATTGCATTGAATCTGTAGATTGCTTTTGGCAGGATTGCCATTTTTACTACATTGATCCTACCTATCCAAGAGCATGGGAGATCTTTCCATTTTCTGAGGGCTTCTTTAATTTCTTTCTTTAAAGATTCAAAGTTCTTACGATACAGGTCTTTCACTTGTTTGGTTAGTGTTACCCCAAGGTATTTATGTTGTTTGTGGCAATTGTAAAGGGTGATGTTTCTCTGATTTCTCTTTCAGCCCTTTTATCATCTGTATATAGTAGGGCTACTGATTTTCTTGAGTTGATCTTGTAGCCTGCCACTTTGCTGAAGGTGTTAATCAGCTGTCAGAGTTCCCTGGTAGAGTTCTTTGGGTCATTGATGTAAACTATCATATCGTCTGCAAACAGTGAAAGTTTGACCTCTTCCTTCCCAATTTGTATCCCCTTGATCCCCCTTTGTTGTCCTATGGCAATAGCTAGAACTTCAAGTACCATGTTGAAAAGGTATGGAGAGAGTGGACAGCCTTGTTTTGTTCCTGATTTTAGAGGAATTGCGTTGAGTTTCTGTCCATTTAGTTTGATGTTGGCTGTTGGTTTACTGTATATAGCTTTTATTATGTTTAAGTATGTCCCTGTTATCCCAGATCTCTCCAAGACCTTTATCATGAAGGGGTGTTGGATTTTGTCAAAGGCTTTTTCAGCATCTGATACTGGAAATTTTTTCGCCAAGAAATCTTCCAACAGTTTATTAGAAAGAATGTAGACATTTTAAAAAATCCCCAGTCATGAACATAAATTGAGTTCTCCCAGTCAGGGCATAAGCTGAAATCAAATGCAGTAGTATTAGGAGAAAGCAGTTGATTTGGTTATTGTAGAACTTAATTATTGTAAACTGACCCAATCAAAATTATAATCACCTATTTTTTAAAGACACACAATAAAACAAGTTACCAAAATTAGATAGCTCTTCCTAAGGTTGCTCATCTTTCTCATGTTCAACATTATCTTCTTTTGTGTCATTTGCTTTGCTTTGTTTTGTTTTGTGTCTATGGTTGTAACTATTCAGCTCACAGACTTGTGAATGTTAGAAAAGTTGTGTATTACTGAGCTGCTTCTCCAACTCTTTCTAGGAATGATATACTTTCCATCAAATGTTTATGTTTCTGTGTATGTTTGTAGGTCAATAAGGCAGAAAGAGGATTATGTGAAGGGCAGAAGAAATTCTAATAGAGGTGGGAAATGAGATAATGGATTACTTTGTAAAGAAACAAAGAACTAACTAAAGGAAGGAAGGAAGGAAACAAGTAGGAAAGATTCAGGTAGTAGGGAAGGGACCCATTTAGAACAAAGCATAACGATACATATGTGCAAAGACACCATTATGAACCTCAATACATTGTATGCTGAACTACAAACAAAAAGAAAAATAAATTTTAAAACTGAATTAAAAAGAACTTCAAAAAGATGAGTTTCATTGGTCATTTAAGCTTTAATGTGATTGTGTTTTATATTAATTCCTTAGTAATACTTTTGTGATATTTAAATGAAAGAAGAGGGTGAATGTTAAATGCCTATTAGTAATTCTATTTTATTTAACTTTTGAATGAATAATCAGGATAAAACATGAATAGCAAGAAAGACAACTAAAGTAAAGTGCACTAAAATATGGAGTAATCCATTTATGGTCAACCAGAAGGTCAGTAAGAATTTGTCCCATTGGTATCACAATTCTTGGGGGAATGACAATGTTTGGGAGTACTTTGTATTCAACAACACTAGCTGACACAGATATAAAAGTATTGAGTAGTGAATGACACGTTTTGAGCTTGAATTTTCAACTACAACCTCTCACTAAGTGAACATTCTATCCTATTTTTCCAGTTGTACTTCAACTTTTCAGTTAGCCCCTTTCACCACAGAAACTTAAAAGAAGCAAAGAACAATGAAGTAACACTTGTCATTTGACGAATCTGATTAAGACAAAGGTATTTGCTACTGAGATCAACTGTACACACACACTCCCATCTTAAGTGTACATTTTGTTAGACAAAATACACCTATCCATTCTCAGAATGAACCCAAACCATTTTTCACTGGAAACAGTTGTGTTTAAGAATGTTACACATCGAAGGGGATCACAAAATACAAAAATAAGTGTTGGTTTTGGACTAGATTTCAAAAGTTTTGGAGTATGTGTCCCAAAGATAATTTAGAGTTCTTGTCTCAATTAAAGTAAGATGCTGTATTTGGTAAAGAAATACCTGTTTTGTAACTTACTATACTAACCTAGCCAGATTCGTTTAATATCACACTTTAAAGAAACCCCCAGGCAGAAGCTGAGAATACAGTCCATTCCGTAGAGTAATATGCATTTGACAGGTTTTATTGCTCTTTATCCTGACAAGCAAACTACAATTGACCTAGCAACTGTAACTTGCTGTTGTTTGAGACAGGATCTCCCTCTACAACCCAGGTTGAGCTGAAACTCGTTATCTAGACTCATGTTGCGCTTGAACTTTTGGCCACCTGTTTGACTCAGCCCCCAAAGCTCTAGGACTACAAGGTATGTCTTAGCAAGTCAGCTAGTAATTCTGTTTTGATTGACAATTTTTTCTTTTGTTAATTTTCATTTCATACTAAGAGAAAACAACTCGTTTTTAAATTAAAAAGGATTTTATTCATTTTATATTTGTGATTATTTTACCTGTATGTATGGATATACGGATACACACCTTGTGTGTATCAGGAAGGAAGAGGGTATGAGATCTCCTAGAACTCGAGTTACAGAAAGTTGCAAGCTTCCATATGGTCCTGGGAAATGAACTCTGGACCTCTGCAGAGCAACCAAGGCTCTTGACTGCTGAGCCAACTCTTTAGACTCAAATCTGCACAGTTTTGAAAAGTAGGATAGTGTATATTATCATACCTCACAATTAATAATATTTGCTTCTCACAAAATATGTTACGTATTTGAGATATAGAGTCTAAGAACAGGGACATAGGATGTAGAAACTTTAGTACACATTTATTTCAAATAGCTTTTATTCACAGAGGACTAGAGGAAAAGCTAATCAGTAGAAAACACAAGACATAAAGGGCATCGTTACTCTTTTTAAGCAGTGGTGACACTAACAACATCAACAGGACTTTGGAGCATGACATTGTGTTTCCAAATCCAAAAGAACAGGAAGCAGAAAGAAGGTGAACATTCTGAAAGCATGTTCAATAATGGTGCTGTTGTTATATATTGAACCTTTATTAGGCAATTATCTTGCACATCTGGGAACACACCACCAACAGAACAACTTTATGTTTGGCAATGTATAATTTTCTTAGCATTTCTGGATGACAGATTTTTGATGAAGGCCAAAAACATTAAGGGCAAAACTACTTGATCACAGAGGATAACCAACTGATCTTATTATAGTAGTAGATACAAGACCACAATACAAAAAACAAGTCCACATCACATGAACCAGAAAGTCCACATTATCTGCACTCACTCCAATAATCATGGTCTAGCATTTAACCAAAAAAAGTCATAAATTTTTAAAAAATTGCCTGAACTGCCCAATTGATTTAAAATACCAGGATGTTTGTTTTGAATGACTCAGATTACCAACAAAAAGGTCACTCATTTTTGACAGCACATTCACTAAGCTTAGCCATCACTGGAAGGACAATTTCATCTCACCCTGCTTCTGTGAAAGTCTGCACTGGCAGAGTCATCAGAAAAGAGTCTGGTCTGAGGATCTTACAATGTAGCAAGAGAAAAGGAACTTTTTCATGTCTGAAAATAGCTTTTACAAAAACATGGAAGTAAAATTTCTCTTCAGATTACAAAACCTTTAATTCTTTTGTGATTTTTGTTATCCCATTTCTACTAAATGTTAATTAATAAAGAGCTCAACCCAGACACTATAGCAACAACTTTATCATTGTTTAAAAAATGCCATCTCCTTCAAAGGGCAATGGGCCTGATTATAGCATCCCTGCAAACAATTGACCACATACATGTGGCATTGTAATTGCCTTCATATGTTTAGAGACAAAACGAGAAAATTAAAAGGACTCCATGTCTTATTTAATATGTCAGACATTCTTAGAGTCAAAATATACAGTCTTCTAGCTTCTCTTCCAGGTAGTCATGGTTTATCTCACATAAGTGTCTTCTAAAGGTCATGGAGGTTTGCACAATCTTCCCTGTGTTACTCCATTGTATAATAGCAAAAGTGGTGGAAGATATTTCACACAAAAGTAAAACCCTACATTAATAAAAGAAAGTGGCAAGCCTTAAGTATAAAATAAACCCAAGCTTAGGTTCTTTTAGGTGAAGCTAGCTAAGTCAGATATCTCTTGATAAGGAATAAGTAAAACACAGACTAGGTTTAGATGAAGTGTGTGAAGACACACATGCCAAGTGGGGTCTCAGAAGAGAAACTTGGAGGGTAGTTTCTGCTTAGGAAACAAAGTAGAGAGAACTCAGAAATTATTCTGATTGTTTTGGTATGTCAATTTGGTATTGGCAGGCAAGTAAGGGAAACAGCAGAGTGAGGGACAAGGAAACTATTGGTTAGAATATCATCACTGTACAGTGTATTATGTATTTGTGAACTGTTCTAGTTTGAGACTAAGACAGTTTGAGAAATTATAACTCCTCTAATACCTCATGATTGAGATGAAGTCCAATTAGCCTCCTATCAATGGTCTGAGATTTGTTTGATGGAGTTACTGCCAACATACTTATTAACAATGGACACACTCATTTCTTTATGTATTTCATGAGTCCAGGTAGATGCTACAGGGAGTATGTTTGTGGCTGGTCTAGAGAATGGCAGTTCTATGGTCTTGGGTATATATAATATGAACACAGAAAGGCCGATTGAGAGTGTCGCCATAGCAATGGCCATCTTTGCAGATAACAGAAAGCTTTTTTTTTTGTCTGCCTCAGATAATCTGCCTTTCATTTCTTTATGGAACGTTGTCTTTATGGAAGCAATACAAAAGGTATGCCATTGGGTGCTCTCTCTCTCTCTCTCTCCCTCTCTCTCTCTCTCTCTCTCTCTCTCTCTCAACACATGATTTCATTCCCAAAAACAGGAAATAAATATTATAACAGTTAAGATTAGAAAAGACAAATCACAATTAGACTGCTGGATATTTCAAGCTCAGAATGAATCATTTTATGAAAGAAAAATTTGGCTTCTTTTTTGGGCTATTAAATATTAACACTTATTTCTATTAAACAAATGAGAAGAAATTTTGAAGAGAGAAATAGTAAAAAAAATTTAAATAAATCACCTTAATCATAAGTGCTGGAATAAAAAGAATAAAGCTTAAAAGTGCTGAGTAGGAGGAGTTTCTTCTGGCTGACTCTAAGGACCATTCTCAGTTACTCCCATATGGAGTCTGTAAAGATATCAGTAAATCCACAAAGCTTCATGACTGACCTTTAGAAATAAAGCAAGTCTCACCTATTGAGAGAGACTAGTCCCATATTTTTGAAATTTTTGTGGTAGGAATACCCCTTTTCAAGGGCACTGTATTTTTACTTAGATGAATGAAAATATTCCTAGTGGGTCACAGTCACACTGAGAACTCCATTTCCGTTCTTAGTACTGTGGATGGAAACGTCAGTTGTGGGAGTTTTTAAGCACATATGTCTATTATTTCCAAAATCTGAATTCTGTCTACAGTATGGATATTACAAATAAGATAAAATATTTTAAAATACTTCCTCTCTAATATTTTTTCACTTGCCAGTCAGTAGCCACAAAGCCTAAATTTTCTTTCTTCTATTTTTATTTTATTTTATTTTGTTTTGTTTTTCAAGACAGGGTTTCTCTGTATTGTTTTGGAACCTGCCCTGGAACTCACTTGGCAGACCACGCTGGTCTCGAACTCACAGAGGTCCATCTGCCTCTGCCTTGTGAGTGCTGGTATTAAAAGCGTGTGCCACCAACGCTCGGCGTAAAGCCTAAATTTTCACTGATGTTCATACTTGCTCACTCCTTACCAGGGTTGCTTATTTCAATTGAAAATAAAATATTTAATTATATAGAAAACAAAATTGATCACAACATTTCTATTTGTTTCTATTACTTAAATTCAACATTTTTGACTCATGTTTCTCAAAAAATCATTATTTTTTCAACATGTGTGAGTTATGCTAGACTATGAGGGAATTTGTGGGGTCATCTTCCAAAGGGTCAGACTGAGACCCAGGAGCCATAATGCTTCTCAATTAGCCTTCCACCGGGGACCACTGGGAACAATACAATCTAAATGTGTAGTTTAAGAAAACTATAGCAGTTGAACTATTTGCTTAAAATGATGGTCAGCTGCAGCAGAGATGCCGATACTCTCTGCCCTTTGGGGCCACACTCCGTCTTGTAAGGGTACAGGGAATATGGTGCAGCACTCCTCAGCTCTTAATGACTACGTTCAGCTGTGATCATTCCCCACCAGGGTTTAGTTGCCTATCCCAGGATTCTATACTTGTATTGCGATCAATTAGGTGTGCTGTCATATGGTGGGGCGGAAGCGTATGATTAACTCCAAACTATCTCAGAGATGTCCTAGTGATCTAGCTTCATCAGACTGGCAAGTCACCTTCTGAGGTCAGGTCGCAGGAGCATCAGTGAATTAGTTGACTTGTTTTGTCTCGTTATCCGACATCTAATGTATATTCGCAAAGATGGGGAAGTGTAATTCTGAAGTTGATTTTAAAACTTTTCAAGTATGATAACTTTCCCCATTTTAAAGTGAGAAGGTCTTTTGCAATCCTTTAAAGCCTTTGATTTTCTTTTAGTTAATTTCCTCAATTACAGAAAAGAAAGAAAGAGCTAGCAAATATAATTGGCATAAATTTCTCTAAAACATCAAGAAAATGGAATTTACAAAGAAGTTTATTACAATTATGAATCTAGATTGACTTAACCCTTATGCAATAAAAGTAATTTTTAACCTAATACTGAATTACATTCCATTTCAGATTTCCTATTTCAAAGGGTATCTTAAATTTCTAAGAGGTTAGACCAAGTCTTGAGCCATTTTTTTGTATATGCAATAAAAGTCTTTAAAATTAAAATGCTAATCCTAAAAAAACTAAATGCATGAAAAATGTGGTCGGACTGTATAACAAAGGGGAGTTATGTAATTCTACGTGAGTGAGATCTTTCATCTTTGATTTACAGGTTGGAGTCCTCTCTAACTAAAACCACATTGTTCCGTGTCTTTCATATCTTGGCCTTCTCTAAAACCTTGTTTTAATTAAGGTTTCTTTCAGATTTCTGAATAAAAGCATGACAATCTTCACTTATGGCTTTAATATATCCTTTAAGTTAGGAAAATATATAAAAAGAAACATCAATGTTCAAAAGCGATGTCAGATATTAAATATGTGAGATATTCTACCTCGTTGTCTTTAGGTGTTTGAGTTATACACTGAAATACAATTTTCAGAAGCAGTGGCTAACTTGCTTATATTTTATTTAATAAGCTGTTTTTAATCTCAGAAATAAATGTTCTTTATTTTGAACCTTTGCTAGAAAGGCTACCTGTGCAAAGGCTAAGCTCTGTGTTAGTTTTCATGTGAAGGCACAACTCCTAGCTTAGTCCCATTCAAAGGGACTTCAGATCATTGTCATCTTCGTCCACATATTTCTAAGATCTGGAAAATCCAGTGGCATCGCTTAAACCATATGCACTAAAATAGTTTCAAGGCAGAATCAAATGTCAAAAGTGGATTAACCTGAAAAGTAAACAATATAAATCAAATACTAAAATCCTCCTGGTGTCAGAGAAGTTGTGGGTGATTTTTCTAAAAGAAGGAAGAAGCAGTGGGACAGAAAACCAAAGGTAAGAGAAAGTGCGCTAAATAGATCTGGAGCAAGTTACAATCCTTGAGAAGTTATGTGCTTTTCACAGACTGCACATCTCCTAAGAGATGCACTTCCACAGTCCCTGTCCTCAAGATAGTCCCGTGGGGGTGGAGAGACCTCATTACCTAAAGCTGCAAGTTCCTATCCTGTGTGAACTTGAAACAGATGTAAAAGTCCAGCAAAATACCGCACCATTGCACATTGTAGGCACAGTGTGCAAGTTCCTTTTGGACGTTCAGATACATTGTGATACTTTTTTCTATTAGAACAAAGCATCATCCCAGCTCCATCTTGAACTCTTACCAGGATGGAAATGTGTTAGAACAAAGACAAAAATCAACAACAACAACAATAAAAATCCCTAAACCCCACAGCAATCTGTCTGTAATTCCCATCCACTCATACCTGAAAAGAAACCCTGTAAACAATTTACATCCAGCCTACAGTAAACTACAGAAGAAAACACTGATCATAAAGTTAGGAATGCATATGTCTCAGGTTTTGCCTCAAAATTTCACTGGCTGTCATAGCTTCTGAAACGGACACCATCTAGTGCTGTACTGAAGGTTTGTAGCTCGCACTGTGTCTGGTAGTGGGTCACCAGCATAAAAGCGTGCTGGAAGCAGTTTCTTCCAATCCTGGTTACTGTAACTTTAGAATCACAGTGGTTACATTTCAGGAATCTGTAATATCCTTTCAAGTCCATCCAAAGAACAAGTGAAGCTGCTGTTCAGAATTTTGTGCCCAGTGTTTATGTTCCATCAAACCATGCCACCCAGGCAGCAGACATGTCTGAGGGTGCTGGGGTTGGGGGGGATACACAATGATGTCACACACAGGAAATATCGGGGGAGACTTGGCACTTCACAGAGCTGGTTCCTCTTCCATGGGCTCACCAGCAGCTCTGTAAAAATAAACAGGCAATCAGAATACGGCACAAGAGTACACAATGGCATTGTAGACGTTCATGCACAATCAAAGCTGATTTTTCAGCTCTCTCACATGTTTATTTGTGTCATTCAGTTATCCATAAATAGAGTTTCTTTCCTAGGCAGTATAAACAAATGTCAAGTGGAAAAACATTTTAGATCCAAGCAATCATTGGAAATGTTCCTGTTTATATTAAAACATGTCAGAATATTTTATAACTCTATATTCCAAAATGTACATGTTTTGTGTCTTGGACAGTCCAATAATTTATTGAAAAAATAGCTATGATAGCCTATTTTAGGAGCAATAGTAGTGATTTCTGGAACCATTTTGCTAAGAAGGGTGAACGATTCAGCTAGCTTCTGGAGCAGGCTCATCCAGGCTCTGGGGTTTGCTTCTGTTTTTTTTTCATAACTGGATTGGCCTTCTGCCTTAGGCATTTCAAATCAAATTCTGAATTTGATTAGCAAATCACTGCTACAGACCTAACATTTTTATAAGAAATGCACTATGGTAGTATATAAATCGTTTGCATTCGGCATTATAAGTGGGGTGTTCTGCTCAGCTAAAAACCAAAGATAATTGCTTGAAAATTATACTTGAGAGTTAACCTTAATTTAGTAACACATTAAGAGTGTTTTAAGTCAAACTTTTACAATGATTTTTAATTCAGTCTAAAGAACAAACTATTGCAAGAATCTGAATGTGTCAGGTATTTGGGTTGTTTGGGAAGTTGGATTAGGGGAATTCAAGATGCTGGGATGATTGAGGTTGAGCTGAACTCTGAAGGCTAGAGATGTGGTGACTTCTAATTGCAGCACCAGGCTCTGTGAAACTGCTTCAGGGGTGAACCATAAGAGGGAACATGCTCCTGATAGAATTAGTACAGATAAAAAAATAGGAATAATGATAAACAAGGGCCTTCAAAGAACAAACACTGGAATACGTGGGATTATCCCTTCATTACCTGCCATGCACACAGAATTATGTCAACTGACACTTGAATACAGTGTTATGCTTATGATGCCAGTAGGAACACATACACAGGCAGCAACTCTCTGTGGGGGAAAGAATAATTGGGGTATATCTATGTTTTTCACTTCATGTTGTCTACTTGTGGGTATTCTATAATGGATCACTTTCATATGAGAAAACTTAGTATGCATGATATGCAGCAATTATGGAGACAAGCAGGCTAGCTAGGTGTGCTGCTTTGGGAGTTAAAAAAAAGAGCCAAGATTTCAATGAATATTCAAATAAAGAAGTTCTTCATCAGCATAGCATTTAAATAATAAATGAAAAACACAAAATATGTTGTTCTTGGATACCATAGAATGATTTTAGCTTATCTTTTAGAAAATGAAGAGTAAAAATATTAAGCATTCATTATCTAAAAAGATTTCATGAGTAGTACTTTTTTTAAAAAAAGGAAAAAATAATTTTTGAAAGTATCTTATTTATTTATTGTCTTATGCCTGCATGCCAGCAGAGGGCACCAGATCTCATTCCAAGTGGTTGTGAGCCACCATGTGGTTGCTGGGAATTGAACTCAGGACCTCTGGAAGAACAATCAGTGCTCTTAACCGCTGAGCCATCTTTGGAATGCCTAAGAATGTTTAATTTTTCCGCACACAGATGTTCTGGAATGAGTGTGACTGGAACTCCTCAGAAACAGGCCAGTCAGTCAAATGGGAAGGGTGCTTGCTGAGTCTTAGTGGAGGAGCATGCATTCTCCACAGGCACAAAGTAACTTCTCTCTTGAGGCATACAGATGTGTAGGTAGAATTGACTACTCAGAGAATCCTGTCCCTGTGCTCTCCACTGAATCACTTTCTCAGGTAACCCTAACCAAGGAAATGAAAGGCAAGAATTTCAAGCTTTTGCAGAAAGAAACTGAAGAAGATGGAAAGATGTCCCATGCTCATGGGTCAGTAGAATTAACATAGCAAAAATGGCCATCCTATGGAAAGCAGTCTACAGAATCAATACAATTCCCATCAAAATCCTAACACAATTTTTTATATACCTTGAAAGAACAGTATTCAACTTCATGTGGAAAAACAACAACAACAACCAGGGTAGCTAAAACAGTCCTGTACAATAGGAGAATTTTTGTGGAGGCATCACTATACCTGATTTCAAGCTCTACTAGAGACTAAAACTCTATATCATTGGCATAAAAACAGACACACTGGTCAGTTGAATTAAACTGAAGACACAGACGTAAATCCACATACCTACGGACAAGTGATTTTCAATAAAAGAACGTCATAAATACACAATGAAAAAAAGAAAGCATCTTCAGCAAATGGTGCGGGTCTAACTGGGTGTCTGCAAGTAGGATGATGCAAATAGGTCTATATCTGTCAACCTACACAAAACTCAAGTCCAAGTGGATCATAGGTGTCAACATAAAACCAGATACACAATCAACAAAAAACTCAAGTCAAAGAGGACCAAAGGCCTCAACATAAAACTAGATATATTGGATCTGATAGAAGAGAAAGTTGGGAACAGCCTTGACACAGGAGACACCTTCCTACACAACATTGATAGCACAGACATTAAGATCAACAATTGGTAAATGTGATCTCATGAAACTGAAAAGTATCTGTAAGGCAAAGGACGCCATGAACTGGACAAAGCAGCATCCTACAGAATTGGAAAACATTTTCACTAACTCCACATCTGAAAGAGGGCTAATACCCAAAATGTATAAAGAACTCAAGTAACTAGTAATCAACAAATCAAGCAATCCAGTTAAAAACTCGGTACAGATAGAAACAGAGAATTCTCAACAGATAAATCTCAAATGATAAGAAACACTTAAAGAAATGTTCAACATCCTTAGCCCTCATAGAAATGCAAATGGAAACGATTCTGAGATTCTATCTTTCACCTGTCATAATGACTAAGATCAAAAACACAAGTGAGGGGGGGATGAAAAAAGGGGTCAAGAACACACTGGAGAAACCCACAGAAACAACTGACCTGACCAAGTGAGACCACATGGACCCCAGTTGTAAAGTTGGAAGCCCTCTGAATTTGGGTGCCAGTTAAAGGCCTGGGCAGTCTACGGGACCTCTGATGGTGGAGCCACTATTTATCCCTAGTGAACAAATGGAGTTTCGGAGCCCACTCCCCAAGGAGGGACATGTTGTCAGCCCAAATACACTGAAGGAGGGCCTAGGCCCTCCCCCAAATGATGTGACAGACTTTGATGATCCCCCCTGGAAGGCCTCACTCTCCTTAGGGAGTGAGTGGGGGCTCGGTGGGGGGAATGGGAGGATGGGAGGAAGAGGGAACTGGGACTGATATGTAAAATAAGATTGTTTCTAAATTAAATAAATAAATTTAATTTAAAAAGTAAAATTTGCAGTCAAATGGATCGAATTAGAAAAAAATCATCTTGAGTGAGGTAACCCAGACCCAGAAAGACAAACATGGTATATAATCACTTATAATTGGGTGTGCTTGTTTGAATGTAATTTATGTAATTGCCGCCCCCCATAAGCTTATAGGGAGTGGCACTATTAAGAGGTGTGACATTGTTGGAGGAAGTGTATCACTGTGGGGGTGGCTTTGAAGTCTCCTATGCTCAAGTTATGCCCAGTGCAGACACATACTCCTTCTGCTGGCTGTGTATCAAGACATAGACCTCTCAGCTCCTTCTCCAGCTCCCAGTCTGCCTGTGACCCCAATTAAATGTTTTCCTTTACAAGAGCTATCATGGTCATGGTGTCTCTTCACAGCAGTAGAAACCCCAACTAAAACAGTGGATATTATCTGTAAAGTAAAGGATAATCATGCTATAATCCATAGACCTATAGAGGCTAAGTAGCAAGGAGAATCCAAGGGGGCATGGGCACATGCATCTCCCTGGGAAGTCAAAATGAAACAGATACTGTGGGTGTAGTAGGGCCAGGTAGGGACAGGAACAAGAGGGATCACATGGGGGGAATGGAGGGAGAGAGAGAAGGAAGATGTAACTGGAATTGGAATTGGGGGATATTTGGGGGATTGAGCTAAAGAAACTATTGCAATGGAAACTCCCAGTAATGTATGCGGGTGACCCTAGCTAAGACACAGGCAAGACTTTCAGTGGAGGGAATGGGACACCGAAGCAGCCACAAAATCTTTGAGCTACAATTTGTCCTGTGTACAAGACATGCTGGGGTGTAGGTGTCAGTGGCCAATCAATGATTGGTTCAGCTTGAGTCCCTTGCTACCAGAGGAAGTCCATGCCAGAAACTGCCTGGAGGGACAGGAATCAGAGGCTGGATAACCCAGAGACATAGGATAGAAACAAACATGACTGAAAAAAATGTATTCTATGAAATGATTCCTATGATACTTTGCTATGCTTGTAGACCAAAGCACAGCATAACCATCAGAGAGGTTTCATCTAGCAACTGATGGAAACAGATGCAAAGATTCACAACCAACCATTGAGAGGAGCTCAGAGAATTCTGTGGGAGAAGGGGAGAAAGGATTATAGAAGCCAAAGTGCTCAGGGATATCACACAAGAAAACCACAGAACTGACTAACCTGGACTCATAAGGGTTCACAGAGACTAAACTGACCATCAGTGAGCCTGCATGGGTCTCACTGAAGCCTTCTTTATATATTTCATGTTATATGTTATTGTTGTATAGATTGGTATTCTTGTGGGAATCCAAACAGTGAGAGTGGGAGCTGTCTCTGACACTTTTGCCTGCTTCTGGGACCCTTTTAATCCTGCTGGCTTGCCTTACCCAGCCTCAGTGTGAGAGAATGTGCCTAGTCTCACACCAAATGTTAGCCCATGCTGGTTTAATATCCCTGCAAAGTCTGCACTTTTCTGAAGAGACCTGGAGGAAGACTGGATCTGGGGGAGAGGGAAGGTAGGGGGTACAAAGAAGAGAAGGGAGGGGAAATTTTGGTCAGGATGTAATATTTGAAAGAAAAATAAATAAATGGAAATAAACTATACC